CGACATGCCCTGCCCCGGGCGCGCTGCCCCGGGTGCCGGCCGCCGACACACGCAGGAAGGACCTCTGGCCCCAGCGCCCGCGCGCTAACCGTGCGGGTGTGACCACCCGAGTGTCCGCCTCCACCCGTGCTTAGCTGCTGGGGCTCAGGTAGGAAGTCTGCAGCCAGGAGCACAACCGCTGTTGCCCTCTCAGAAGTGGGTCTCAGAGAGAGGTGTGTCCTGTTGGTAGTGACAGCAAAGGCTGGCAGGCCATTGGCCGGTGCTGGGGAAACAACACGCACAGCCCAGGTGCAGCACGGGGGACCATTCCCACGCTGGTGAGCATTGTCTGCCTGCGGGCCCTCCTCCTGGCTGATCCGTGTGTCAAGTGGTGTATGTGACCTGCTGAGCGAGCGGCCTGTGGATGCCACGGGAGCGCTTCCCAGCACTTCCTGTGATGCCTCCTGCCTGGCCTGCCGAGATCAAGTCGGGTTATTACTGAACACGTAGCACGAAGCTACCCCACCCAGTACTGACTACTCTTCCATTGTCCTGCAGGGCTGAGATCCAGGCCTCCTGTGAGGACAGAGAGGATGAGGCTCACCCTCCCCCTGTGATCCATGTGGACCCCGACGCCTGTGTCCTCCCAGATGCCGCGCTCTGTGCCTTCACGGTGCTCGATGACATGCTGGTCACCCTGGTACAGGGCCCCACCCAGTGGAAGATGCAGCTGTTTGAGCGCCCCTGTCCAGGGGAGGCGCCTCGGCCCGGAGGGCAGATTGGTGAGGTGGAGTTGTCCACCTGCACCCCTCCAGGTGGGGTGCCAGGGAAGCCTGCAGCCCCCTGCTTCCTCCCGGTGCTGTGCTGCACGTTCCCACCAGACTCCAGGGCTCCTCACGGTCACCCCCAGGGCTGTGGCTGCCTCACACTGGAGGAGGCTCTCTTTGGTCTACTCTTTGGAGCCGACGCCACCCTCATGCAGTCCCCTGTGATCCTCTGCGGTCTCCCTGACGGCCAGCTTTGTTGCGTGGTTCTGAAGGCCTTGGTCACTTGTGGGTTAGCCCCTGGTGACCCAAAGGTCTTAGTCAAGATCCTCCATCACCTGGAGGAGCCTGTGGTCTTCATTGGGGCTGTGAGGGCGGAGCCTCATGCTGAGGAAGAGCAAAGAGAGCCGCTGCCTGAGGAGAATGTGCACTCTGACTGCCTGGTAGCCCTCGGCCACCAAGGCCGGACGCTGGCCATCAAAGCCGGCTGGAGTGAGTCAGGGACTCTAGTACCAGAGCTTCGTGAGTACTGCCTCCCGGGGCCTGTGCTCTGTGCTGCCTGTGGCCGGGATGGCCGCATGTACCACAGCACCCCCTCAAACCTCTGTGTGGTAGACCTGACTCGGAGAGACACTCCCTGGAGCCCTGAGAAGGCAGACGGGGCGATAGGAGGTCTGCCCTCCATGCTGTGCCCAGCCAGTCTGAACATCTGCAGTGTCCTCACTCTGACTGTGTCATCAGGGGCATCTACAGGTATGACCTGCTGTTAGATGTGTCTGGGCCTTGGGGCAGCCTTTCTCCTGAGCTGCCCTTCCTTTTCTCTTTGGTGAGACTTGTGCTAAGGTGGCAGGTAGGCAGGCTTTCCTCACCAGGCCTGTCACAGAGCAGTGGTTCACTCACTCCTGTCCTGGGGTCCGAGGCACCTCTGCATGTGTGTCCTGCCTGGGATTGGGCAGTGTGCCGCTCTGCCTAGGTGTTCTCTGTCTCCTCACTCGGGTGCCGCCGGCTCGCAGCATGTGGCTTGTGGAGTTGCTGTAAGAGCACCCTCCACAGCAGGAACAAATCAGGTCAGGCCAAGCCTCCCAGTGTCCTCCGAGAGCTGGATGAGCCTGCTGTGACTGCTATGTGACCTGCTTATGAGACATTCGGAGGGTGTCTCAGAGTCTGCCTGGCTCTGGGATGAGAGGAAGATACTCCCCTCCCCCAGTGCTTTCCATTAAGATCATCTATGAGTACGTTAAGACCTCAGAAAACAGTTAACAGGGGAAAAATGCTTGGAAGAGCCAAACTGCCACAGGGTTGGGGCAGGGGTCCATGTGCCTGGAGACCAGGGTATGTGGGAGCTGACTTTCTGCTGATAAACTCCTCACTTCAGGGCTTATGGTAAGAGCTGTGTTGGGAGTAAGGAGGCAAGCAGAGCTTTTGCAGGGGCAGCTTCTGTCCCCTCGGTGCCAGGCAAGGGCAGGAGGATATGGTAGAGAAGCCAGGCTTCCTGAGACGAGCCCAGTGAGGATGAGGTGAGCGGAGCACTTCTCTTTGGAAAGCTCAGCAGCCTTGCTCTCTGTGGCCTATTGAAGGTCCAGACACTTTCGAGTGATTGGATGCCATACAGTGTCCTCTTTTGGCCCCCTTTTTGTCCTGTCTGTGTGGATCAGTCACATCTAGGCTGACATCATCTCGAGTAGGCAATTGAAAACTGCATAGAGACCCATGGTCACCTTCTCTGTCCAGCTCCTTGGTGTGGGTCTCCCCAGTCTCCCCCAGCACCCCATTTCCTTCCTTGGACACTGCCTGGGCCCTTTGCCAACCCTTTTCCTGGAGTTCAGAGCTAACAATGCTGAGTGTCTGGCAACTGCCCCACACTTGCTGACTGGCCCTGTGTGTCCCTCATCAGGTGGCACTGAGCTCCTGGCCCTATCTTCTAAAGGGCGCCTGATCACCTGCAGCCTGGACTTGAACTCTGAGGTGCCTGTGCCTCCCAAAATGACAATGGCCAATGCAGGCCAGAAAATTAAGGAGCTGCTCTTGGACATCGGTGATGCCTCTGAGAGGTGAGCTGCAGGCTCTGGGAACTGACCCAGGCTAGGGAGGTTCTCAGTGACAACCGTGTGTGTGGCTATCTCCATCAGGGGCCAAAGAGTCTGCACTGAGCCCTCAGAAGACAAGACACCCCTTTCTCCTCAGACCCTCTGACAGGTCCCAGGAGCCTTGTAGTGTCAATCCCTTGCCCGTTTCTGTGGACCTTCCTTAAAGGCCAAGTGTGTTCCTGCTCTCAGCAAAGTTTCTAACACCCAAACCTTCCCCTCAGCTACCACCAGTGCCAAGTCCTCTTGCTCCTCATGACTTTGGGCCTAGAGCTGGTGATGTGTGAGCTCTGTGGCCTTGTGTCTTGGAGATATCCTCATAGGCCTACAACCTACCGACACTGTGAAGTGTTGCAAAGGGGAAAGGGGACCATTTGGGAGCATATGGGGTGATTTGTGGTGGGGCTAATTTATCCCTAGCAGGCATAGGCCAGTTCGGGGTCTCCATCCTGTCCTGCCATCTATAGCCAAGAACAAAGGTCAAGTCAAGCAACTAAAAGTAGCTTCTAAAGGGTTTCACAGGCAAGACAGAGAAAGACCCGCTCCTTGGGCCTGGAGCTACTTGCATCCTCTGAGAGCTCACACACAGACGTGGCTCCCTCTGCTATGATCTCATTCTCCTGGGTGTTGTGTCTGTCCCTTGCAGGGTGTCCTTCCTGAAGAAAGCTGTTGACCAGCGCAACAAGGCCATAACAAGCCTCAATGAGGCCATGAATGTGAGCTGTGCCCTGCTGTCCAGCCAGGAGGGAGTCCGGCCCATCTCATGTACCATCACTACCTCCTGGAGCCGCCTGGAGTTACGAGACATGCTGATGGCCACCTGTACACTGGAGAACAGTAGCAGCTTCAGCCTGGACCAGGGCTGGACCTTGTGTATTCAGGTGCTTACTAGTTCCTCTGCCTTGGATCTGGATGGGGCTGGCTCGACTTTTACCTATACCATTCCAGTGGACAGACTTGGCCCAGGCAGTCGGCGTGAAGTGACATTGCCCCTGGGCCCTAGTGAGAGTGGCATGCTCGACCTGCCAGTGACCATGTCCTGCTGGCTTTTCTACAGTCTCAGGGAGGTGGTGGGTGGGGCCCTGGCCCCCTCCGACTCTCTAGAGGTCCCCTATCTGGAGACGCTCCCTCTCAACCTCCCTAAGCAAGAGGGGGTCTGCCTGCCCCTGTGCAAGCGCACAGTGGACATGCTGCAGTGTCTGCGCTTCCCGGGTGTGTCCTCACAACAACCTGCACGGGCGCCCTGCGTGCCTGGCCCTGCCTGTGAGCCTGTGGAAACCTTCCTAAAGACCTGCCAGACCCCTGGCAGTGAGCCAGCTGGCGCTGCCTCCCTTCGGGCCAAGTACCTGCCTCCGTCTACAGCATCCATCAGAGTATCAGCCGTGCTGCTCAGAACTGCGCTGGAGGGTGGTCACTCAGGTTGGTGGCACCCCTGGCCTCAGGGCCCTGCAGCCTGTGGAAGCAGGCTGCTCCTCTCTCTCCCTGTGGCCCCGTGAGTTCCACTGCACCCTAATTGCTTTGGTGTCATGTTGCCCTGTTGTCATGTCCTTTGTGTGTTTCTTCAAAACTGTGAGGAGGGACAACCTAAACAGAGGCAGATGCCACCAGAGAACAGCTTGTTAAGTTCTCACACCTGGCGTCTCCATAACAAAAGCTGTTCTGCCAGAGGTCTGTTACAGCACTGGGCTGGCTCCTGCTCCCACACACAATGTGCTGAGCCATTTGTATTATTTGGCGCTGGATCTGTGGCAGAAGTGTCCTGGTTGCCGATACCCAGTGGATGTTGGGTTGTGTGTCAGTCTGTCCCAGGGGAGGCCTGAAACCATCTTGCACAGCATTTCTGTCTGTGCACCACAGTGCCGTTAGGACTGTGTGTACCCTCTGCCTTGTAGAGTCTCCTGGAGTGAGTGAGGATCCATGATTTTCTGATGACCCCTGTTCCTCCCTGCCTCTTGGGTAATGAGCTCAGCTCCCTACTTGTGGTAGGACTGTGGGTATTTGGGACACTTAGTTGGCACTGGAAAGGGAACATTTGTGGGAAGCCACACAGGTGCCATTTAGCATGACCTGCCTACACTTCATCGGGTACCTCTCTCTTCCAGGTTCCCACCTTTGCAGCGCCACCCTGCAGTGGCTCCTTGCCGAGAATGCTGCTGTGACTGTCGTAAGGGCCCAGAAACTGTCCTCCATCCAGGGAACAGCCCCAGATGGTACCGATGTCAACCTCACCGTCCGTGAGGCAAGCAGAGGTCCCCTGTGTGTTCTTGGGATGGGCCTCAGGGCCCACAGTCCTCAGTTGGTCCCTCAGCCATTGCTTATGGAGAATAACTGTCCATCAGACTCATCTGTCTCACCAACACTGGGTCCCCGGGAGGACCAGCCCTGTCTAATCCATCGTGGGTCCCCTTCTTCCTGTGCAATGCTAGCGTCACAGTGGACAATAAATACAGGATTGGTGGTTAACCATCCCAAGCCAGTAGCTGTTAACCTGTGAGTCCCTCTGGGGAACTTCAGAGGAGACAGCCCATCCCCTCTGGCCTTTCCCTCTCATACAGCCTCTTTTTTCTCATAAAGCCTTTTGTTGTTGTTGTTGTTGTTGTTTTCCTGGATTTTCAAGACAGGGTTTCTTTGTAACTTTGGAGCCTGTCCTGGAACTCACCCTGTAGGCCAGACTGGGAAAGCACAGGACTGGCCCACCTCTGCCTCCCAAGTGCTGGGATTAAAGGCGTGTGCCACCACCACCCGGCCTCACACAGCCTCTTTTTAGGGTTCTCCCAGCAGCCAGTGTCCCCTGCAGCACACCTTTATAAGTCTCATTGTCAGACACTCTAGGAGAATCAGCCCTGTCTGCCAAGAGCTATGTGTGGGCCTCGACTCGAGCTCAGGATATATTAGTGATGGGGCCATGTCCTCCAGTTCCCCACCCCACTGCCCAGTGCACTGCCCTTGCAAGTCATGTAAGCGAGGTTACCCCTGGCCAAGGCTAAGGACCACTGGCAGTGATTCTGGTCAGTGGACAGAGTCTGTGCTCGAAGTCACATGGAGAAACCACTGGCAGCCAGGGTGTTTCTACAGTCCTCAGGCTCTGGGTCTTATGCCACCGTGTAAAGAGCAAAGCAAGGCTACCGAGCCCTTAGCCTGTCTAGTTAGCACAGTCAGGGCCTCGAGAAGGGTGCTGAGATGTCCACAGACAGGCACTTCAGCCCCCTGTGTTAGGACCTCACTCCATTCCTGGCATGGAGCCAAGTTTAGCTTGGGTCTAGGTGCAGCTCAGAATGAGGTGGCTCCTATAGGATTGGATTCTGAGTCATCCTGATAATGGCTGTCCCTTGCAAATAGGTTTCTGACCACGGTTCTCTAGCCTGTCCGCCTATGAAATGTAAAGAACAGCCCGGCCTGCGTTACAGCTAATCAGGGCCTCTTATGTTGCAGGTATCTGTGACTGACTTGAGCCCCGCAGGGCCCATCCAGGCTGTGGAGATCCAAGTGGAGAGCTCCTCTCTGGCCAACATGTGTAGGGCCCACCATGCCATCATCAGACGGATGCAGGTACCAGCAGGGGCAGGGGTTGGGGAAGGAGGCACTGAAGTTAGTAGAGGGTCCCCTATGGACCCACACAACTGTAGACAGCATGGTGCATTGCCACCTCCCAGAAAGGTGCATTCGTGAGCCCTTTGAGCAAACAAGACGCCGCCCTCCAGCTGTGCTGTCAGCCCGTGTCACCTGCCAGTTCAGAGATGGCTGAGTCTGTATGTCCCATAAATCTCTAGTCATTACTTGTCATGTCTGGGGCCAAGCCCCAGACACGGATTCCAGGCCAAGGCGCCTGTGCTATCAGCAGGGCTCTGCCCCGAGCTGGAGACTGGTGTGATTCAGCCTCAAGGCAAGGTCCACAGTGGCCACCTGGCAGTTCTGCAGTTAGTTCTTTTTTTTTTTTTCCTCTGAGACAGGGTTTCTCTGTGTAGCTTTGGAGGCTGTCCTGACACTATAGACTCTTATAGACCAGGCTGGTCTCAAAGTCACAGAGATCCACCTGCCTCTGCCTCCCTAGTGCTGGGACTAAAGGCGTGCGCCACCAACGCCTGGCTTGCAGTTAGTTCTTGGCTGTAGTCTTCCGCCAACCTGGTATTTCCCCTGAGAATCAGGGCCTGATAGCTGCCAGGTGCTCTGTGAGTGGAGGGCCAGGTGGAGGTGCTAGCTGCTCTCGGAGCTGCAAGGTCAGCCCTAGCACATGACTCCCAGAGATTAATTGCCTCGTCGGCTGTTGACATAAGGATGTCTTTATTCAGATAAACAGCAACCAAACACAAGCCGGAGAGCGTGCCCTCAGGCAGCAGGCTAGGGAGCCCAGAAAAAAAGAGTGCTCCTACCTCTGTCCTCTCCTTAAGCATTCCCCACGCCCTCACAGGTGTGTAGTCAAGCACACCTGTAGCAGGTCCTAGGAGGCGGGGTTACAGTGTCTCTCCCTACAGTCGTCCTGAGCCCCCACAGAGTGAATGGTGTCACAATAACTGGCCCTAACACAGCTGTGGGCTTCATGTTGTGTTCAGGAGTTCAATCCCTATGCTACTAACAGGGTAGTCTCCAAAGCAGTGGTGCCACCAGCCAGAGACTACCCACAGGGCCAGCCAGCCTCCAAGAACTTCTGTCACCTTTCCCCCAAATTTCCATTACAAGAGTACAGTCATATAGTTAAGGCCACCCTAGTGACTTTATCTTGGTCATCTGCAAAGACCCCGTTTAAAAAAAGTTGCCTACAGAGGAACTAGTGTTAGGACTTGGTGTGTGATTTCAAGGGGACATAGTTGATACTTGAAAGAGAATCAGGTGGCGTTAACTGCCCCCTAGGTAGCATTTAGCAGGGCACCCTCAGCCAAACACCTCTGTGGTGCATGGACAGAAATCTCCAAGATGTTAGCTTCCCCATAGGCAGCTGCTCCTGGCCCCGAGTGGATATTCAGCCTCAGCTGCAGGAGGCTTTGTCCTGTCTGAAAAGGCCACATAGCAAGCTAAGCTGTCTTCCGAAAGCAAGAGTGAATGCCCATTCCTAAGTAAGCCTCAGAGGGAATGAGCAAATATATCATGCAGGAGACCTGCCTAAGGCCCAGCCCTAAGTTTGTCCGAGCCACAGATGCAAGTAAAGGGTTTTAAAATGGCTCTTTAAGCTTGGTGTGTGGCGCATGCCTTTAATCCCAGTACTTGGGAGATAGAGGCAGGCGGATCTCTATGAGTTCGAGACCAGGGTGGTCTTCAAAGCCAGTTCTAGGACAGCCACAGCTGTTATACAGAGAAACCCTGTTTCAAAAACCAAACACACAAACAAAAAAGGGCTCTTTGTTCAGGCCTAGTGGTACATTCCAAAATCCTAGCAGTTGATAGGTTGTGGCGGGAAGGTCAGGAATTCAAGGCCAGCCTAAGCTACATATCAAGTTTGAAGCTACCCTGGGTTATTTAAGGTCCTGACTTAAACTCTAGAAACGTCTTTCTTAATTACTGTGGGTGGGAGCTCCAGCTGCTCTGAGGAGGAAAGTCCTGAGCAAAAGGGTGGGAAGCACTACTGGGTGAATGAGTGGGCTCTCCACAGGAGGCGGGGCCAGCTGGTGAGAAAAGCCAAGTGATAATGTTTGGGGAGACAAACAAGAAGTGGTCACTGTGATCTGAGGGGCATGAAAATCCTGGCCTCTAGACTCAGGCACTCACTCTGAGAAGCAACTCTCCAATACCCGCCCCCCAACCCTTCTGTTCCCCAGACTATGGTCACAGAGCAAGCTGCCCAAGGCTCCAGCCCACCTGACCTCCGAATGCAGTATCTACACCAGATTCATGCCAATCATCAGGTGAGCCCTTGTCCCTGGGTATGAGGAGTGTTCCCAGATGGCATGTGGGGGCCCAGTTCTCAGTGTGGGCGGGGTTCCCAGGATAGAATCAAGATGTATAGGGCCATGTCCACGAAGGTGTATGTCACATATTTAAGGCCATGTGACCCCATGTCCTTTTTTGGACCACCCTCTACCTCCCTCCCAAGTACAAGGTGTTCGTAGGTGAAGGCCCGGGCTGAGCTGTGCTGCCTGCCCGTAGGAACTGCTTCGAGAGGTGCAGACACTGCGTGACCAGCTGTGCACAGAGGATGAAGTCAGATCCTACTCCACAGCCCAGAAGCTCCTGCAGGTTTACAAGCAGCTCCGCAACCCTAGCCTTGTCCTGTTGTGACCAGGTGGGTCCTAGCCCTCCATCCATCCACACTTCCTCCAGTGTGCTGGCCTTTGCGGTTCCCTCCGCATGGAAAAGGACACACACTGGTTCCCTGGCTCAGCAGCTGTGCCTCCTGGCTGGTCAGTCAGAAAGGCTGAGAAAGTGGGGTGAGAGGTAGACCCAGGCAGTGTCTGAACTTTGCTGCCTCTCATGCCTTCCTCCTCCCCACAGCTGCTGGCCAGCTTCTCCTCACTGTGGGACACACTCCAGGATGAGTTCTGGGGCTCGCCTGGCAGCACCCCTCCACTGAAACCGCTGCACCCCTCATGGGAAGTATCGTTGCCCAAATACCCGGGCCATGGAGACACAGGGCTTCTGGGGTTTGGACTTGTGGGTGTGGGACCGTCCTGCCGCTGATCCTGCCGTACCCTAGGAGCACTGGCTACCTCTCTGGAGCCACCAGGTGGCAGAGTGCCCACCGCAACCAAAGCACAAAGACCATGGGAGGGCTCCTACAGATGCTGGTGGCTTGAGCCACCTCCAGCCCCGTGTCCCAGCCTCCTCCTCCAGCTGGGCGGTGCCCTACTGCAGGTGTGGTGCTGTTCTCACTAAGGGAGGAGAGCCTGCCTGTGAGCTTTGCTCCTGCTCCTGCTCCTGCGGAGTTCTGTCTGTGTGGTGCTGTGCCGACAAAGCTGCCCTTTTCAAGCCGTCCTAGGTGTCAGCGATGTTTACTAACCGCCGCCCTTGCCCTCTTCAGAGTCTGCCGTGCTCTGTGCAGTTTGGGGGGAGAGAGGGGTTCTGCCCTTGGCCCTGATAACAAAGGGACATTTCTCACAGTGCCCAGCTACCTCCACCAGGGCTCATCTCAATGGGAGTCTGTCCATCCTACAGGACAGAGTCCTCCATGGAGGCAGTTAGATGGAGTAGCCTCCATTGACACGACCTGGAGTCTGTACAAGCCTGGCTTATGTAACGAGGTGCTCATTGCCAGGGTTGCTGGCTCTCCCTGACTGCTGGCCTGCTAAGAGCCCTGTCCACAGCCTTGTCCCCAAGGCTACCCCTGACACCTCTGGATTGGAAGCCTCTAGCTGCATCATGTAGTGTGCATGACTCTGCTCTGAGCAAGTTGGAGAGGCTGGGTCAGTCCACAGGACAGCGGGCCTGCCTGGGAGCAGAGAGGGGTCCCCCCGCTGAACTGACTTCTGTCTCTGTCACAGCGGACATTTTCTAGTGTCCCCTACTTGTCATTATAGTCCACAGAAATTGCAAGGTTTGTCTTTAGCCTAAACTCCAGCCAATCTTGGGAGCTGGGCACGTGTCTCCAGGGACCGCTGTCACCTCATCAGCCTTGCTGGGCACTTGGACACAGACCCCACGTCTGGGCTTTGGCTTGTTTTCCTTGGCACTGGCAGAATTGGAAGGGCCCAGCACCAGGCTTAGATGGCTGCTAGTGCTGAAGAAATGCCAGACTCAGCTGGAGAGTCTCACTTGAGTTGTCATCACGGAGTAAGAGCCGCCATTATTCCATTTGGGTTCCCCAGTCTTGTGTGAGGTCCCCATACATTCCAGACAATGCTTGACATCTGTGACCCTGCAGGCCGTAGGACCACCAGATTCTGAGACCTAACTCACTCAGACAGATTGCTAGGGTCAGTTCCAAGAGTTTATAGGGATATACCCTGAAGTGCGACCCTTGTTGATTTGGGCAAGCCAATAACAGTCCCTTTCTTACTACTAAGGGTGGGTGGGGGTGGGTATCTAGCCATAACTTCCTTCCCGGCATGCCTCCTGATTTCCTACACATTGCCTCCCCCCCCCCCCAAACACATGTCCTGGCTGAGTGACCTCTTGTCTTAGACTTGCAACTCTGCAGGGGTCTCACTTGCCCTGGGTAGTTGGGGAGGACTTTAGAGCCCCAAGTAGGGTCAGGTCAGCCTAGGTTAGGATGGCCTGCCTCTGTCTCTGACCCAAAGCCTAGCAACTGCTGGAGCAGGGTGGGGTGAGGGCACAGAGGTAGCCCCCACTTCCAGCCGTGGCCCTGCCCTAAGGTTGACAGAAGACGGGGAGAACCTTGCACGAAAGGGCAAAGGCTTTCCTAAGGGCGAGGCCCTAGTGCTGCGTAGACAAAACGGGGACTCCAAGGTGCTTGCCCTTCCTGTCACCGAGCTGGGTGGCAGCTGCGCAGCACAGGTTTAATGCGGGTCGGCCCCTGTGGGCCCTCAGTATTCCCAGAGCGCTTCCCCCAAGGGCAGGTCTGCGTCCGCACGCAGCAGCCCCGAGGCGCCGCCGCGCAGGTACTTGCCGCTCAGGGCACGGATGGCCACGCGGCCGCGCTCGCGGAACTCGAAGAGGAAATCCTCCGCCAGGTCGCCGTCGCTGCACACGCTCCCGTGGCTGCCGATGTACCAGAACCCAGCTCCGCGACCTAGGGGC